GGTTTGGGGTTTTGGGTCAGGGGTTTGGGGTTTAGGGTTCAGGGTTTTGGGTTTTGGGTGTAGTGTTTAGGGTCTTCTTTAACCCGTCTTGTGGCTCGCTTAAAGGGTGCCTTATTGCGAAGAAATATATATATATATATATATATCCCCACGGGTCCCCCAATTCCTAACTCCCACTACTTTACCCGAACCCCTGAACCCTAAACCCTAGTCCCAACTCCTAGTCAAGGAACCCTAAACCCTCCAAACATCCTCAAGCCCTAAACCCTAAACCCTAAACTAAACCCCTAAACCCCAAAACCCCAAACCCTAAAGCCCTAAACCCTAAATCCTACAGCCATAAACCCTAAATCCTAAACCCCTAAACCCCTAAACCCCTAAATCCCTACAAAACCCTATACCCCTAAACCCTAAATCCTAACCCCTAAACCCTAAACCTTTTTTTGAAGCCCTGACAGGAGTTCCGAGAAGTTTCGTGCTGGGACCCCGCCGGGCTGTGGCCACGGCTGGGTTGACGCAGGCCCAGGAGGTTGCAGGCTGGTGTTCAGGGTTTAGGGTTTAGGGGTTTTGGGTTTTGGGGTTTTGGGTTTAGGGGTTTAGGGGCTTAGGGGTCTAGGGGTTTAGGGTTTAGGGGTTTAGGGTTTAGGGCTGTAGGGGTTTAGAGTTTTAGGGGTGAGGATTTAGGTCTTGGGTTCAGTGTTTAGGCTTTAGGGTTTAGTAAGGTGTAGGGTTGACGAACACCTTCTTAGGGTACATGTTAAGTTTCTCACAGTAAGGCTCCTGAGAGACATCTAGGTCGTTCGGTTACATAGCGCTGTCACAGTATGAACTTCAGGGCAGACGGTGTATGTGGCTTGGGAGTTGCCGTTGGGTTTAGGGTTTGGGGCGTCGGGGGGTGTTGCCGTTGGGTTTGGTTCTTTCGTGGTGCAAGCGGGTGCGTGTATAACTGGGTATTTGGTTGTAGATTGTGTATTGGGTTGCGAGGTTATTAACAATAAGCCCTAAACCGTGCTTGGGTTTGCAGGGTGTCGGGTATACGGTTTCATGTTCAAGGTTTAAGGCTAAAGGCTGCGGCTGAGGAGTATGCCGTACCATTTCCAGGACGTCTCATGCCGGTGTGCGCCGCAAAATGAAGCAACGAATAGTCATGGCAATGACAACAACTAACAGACTACAAACACTAGCTAACTAATAAGAACAACAAACTTGGAGGATCATGGGACTTAGTAAGTAAGGTTATAAGTACCCTAATTGGGGTTATAATTATAATTACCTTATTTATAACCCTAATTACTAAGTCCCATGATCCTCCAAGAAAGGAATTATGATTGTCATAGTACAGAGGTGAACGTCCAGGCAGCCCATGGAAACCGACGCTTTGAAGCGACCCTGCCAATCCTGTGCAGGTCAAGCGAATCAGAAGGATTACTACGACCAGTCTTCCCACTATGATATGATCTTCAAGAGCATCTTGACCTGCAGTTTATGGCTTTTGATAAAAAAGCTGAGGTTGCGGTTTAGGGTTTAGGGTTTAGGGTTTATGGCTTTTGATAAAAAGCTGAGGTTATTGGGCTCAGCGCTTTCTGAACACCAAGTCTCCAGGTGAAGCCACCCGCCAGCTTGTTGCCGCAAGGTGACAACATTCGTCTGGGCTACTTCCCGCACCTGGCAGAAGGAGTCTGGCTCAGCAGTTTAAGTTTCATGAACACCACGCAACAAACCTTTTCGCGCAGAGCCCTTTTGGAAAATAGATCGACTACAAAGCCTGTACTTGTACAACAGCCTTCTTCTACCCTAAAGCCTAAACCCTAAACCCTAAACCCTAAACCCTAAACCCCTAAACCCCTAAACCCCTAAACCCTAAACGCCCAGTCCTGCTAACCCCAAAGCCAGATGCATTCACTGATTTGGAACCGTTGCAGAAACCCCTTGGACAATCCCTCACCAACTTCCTTGTAACCCTATACGCATAAACCCTGAGCCCTAAATCCTAGACCTATGCCCTACACCCTCTAAACCCTCAACCATAAATCCGAAGCCCTAAATCCTAGACCAATGCCCTACAGCCCCTAAACCCTAAACTCTAAAGCCCTAAATCCTAGACCTATGCCCTACACCCTCTAAACCCTCAACCATAAATCCCATAAATCCGGAGCCCTAAATTCTAGACCTATGCCCTACACCCCCTAAACCCTCAACCATAAATCCGAAGCCCTAAATCCTTGACCTATGCCCTACACCCCCTAAACCTTTAACCCTAAACCCTAAACCCTAAGAAGTAAACCCTAAACCCTAAACCCTAAGCCGTAAACTTGTAGACAACCATACATCCGGAGCTTTAAACGCTACATCCTGAACTTTACATCCTAAGTCCCACGACCTAAACTCCAAATCCGAAACTCCAAAACCCTAAAACCCTAAAACCCTAAACCCCCTTAATTAAGCCCATTATGGAAGCCTCAAAGGAATCCTTATCGCAACCCTAAACCCTAAACCCTGAACCCCTAGCCCCTGAGCCCTCCCAACAAACAGAGCAAAAAGGAAGCCGTGCCTCCAACGAGCTGAACATCACCGAGAGCGGCTTCGCGCTCACGCACCACATGATGACCCTGGGGCTTATATGGGCTTTGAGGGTTTAGGGGCTTAGGGTTTAGGGGTTTAGGGGTTTAGGGTTTTAGGGGCTTAGGGTTTAGGCTTTAGGGGTTTAGGGTTCAGGGGCTAAGGGTTTAGGGGTTTAGGTTTTAGGGGTTTAGGGTTTAGGGGCTAAGGGTTTAGGAGTTTAGGGTTTAGGTGTTTCGGGCTTTAGAGTTTAGGGGTTAGGGGTTTAGGGTTTAGGGGTTTAGGGTTTAGGGGTTTCGAGCTTTAGAGTTTAGGGGTTTGGGGTTTAGGGTTTTGGGGTTTAGGGTTTTGGGGTTTAGGGTTTAGGGGTTTAGGGTTCAGGGGTTTAGGGTTTAGGGTTTCTTGGGCT